CGCTAAAACTTTGAAGCAATTCTTAAATTCGGATAAAAAATCGATATGTATTACACTTTAAACTTCAAAAAATGGTTCAAAATTTAGACTTAGTTTATCTTAACAATATAGCAGATTTTAAGCCGAACAAGTAGGAGTAATAGAAATAGCTCTTGAAAATAATTACAATTAGTAATATGTAAGTCAAAGTTCGAGTATTCTAATAAATAAACGTTCCGGATTTTCTTTACTACAAGAATCAATACTTAATATATAGAAGCAACAGTAAAAACTTATTAGAGATTCAAAAAGAAAGTTGACTAAAGAGAATCTTTTTATATAAGTAATTTTATTTTTTTGAAATACGAGATCGAATAAACATGTATTTTATTTTATTACTATAATAATACGTTTTTACATAGTAAGAAAGTTTAGAGACTGAAATGAAATTAAAAATTGAGAAAAAAATAAAGCTTTTCTATAAAAATTCATATTAATATATAGTATAATGATATTACAATTTATTGATAGTTGTGTTAGAAAAAAGGTACATTCACTATTTTTGACAAAATTTTAAATTTTCATGGGGTTGTAAATCTTATAATAACTAGATGAATAAGGAATAAATCCCAGTATGATGTGCATCATTATATTAAACACTATATGTAAGGCTGGTGATTCTATTAACACTTATGAAGATCTATAGTATTTGAGCAGATAAATTTGATAATTTCCAAAACTCTTATATTTCAAAATTAAAGTGTGCGAATGCATTTAAATGAGAGCAAAAAGAGATTGATGCTGTTAAAACTATGTGTTAATTTGCAATTATTTCGCATCACAAGAACTACCCAGTAAATTCGGCTATCTTTCTTTGCAATTATTCTCCATTATACATATAATATAATGGTTAGGGTTTGAAGAAAAGTTACTAGAGAATTATTGACTTTTGAAATAATGCAGAATTTTACTTGAAGAAATCATTAATTTATGAGTTCCAAATTGCTAAGCATGACGAAGGATCATTAAATTTGCTACAATTAAATACACTTATTGCAGAATTAAGATTTTTGAAATTAAAAGTTTGAAATATTGCCTTTTTGAATAAAAATTTAAATTTTATTATATAATCATGATAATATCTTATAGAAATTAAAAGAAAATATTTTAAACCATTCAAATATTTTGAATGTCTTATCAATTTAAAATATTAAAAGATAGCTTGATTTTATCATCATTAGTTGTTATCAAAGTTTTCTTCTTTTGATGAACAACAGTAAATGATTTGTTAATTACTTGTCTTCCTTTTTCGCAGCAAAATCGAAAGTTATGATGATAATCTTGCTCTCAATTTTGAAACTCTCTGATTTACAAGTAAGCATTCCTTTGGAAAAGCAGTCCTATTCTGTTTTCAAGATATTTTAAAGCCTCAATTTCATACAATGCGCAGATCTATTCGAAATTGCAAGAACTCTCAAGAAAAATGCAGCAGCAAAGAAGATTCCATAGTTTCTAGCATCAAAAATTTACAACCTTAATACAACAGTTAAAGAGAAGCTCGAAAAGAAAATATTTAACCATAAAGCTGGAAACCATTCGATATCTACTATTGGATCTAATAAAAAGTTAATTATAACATATTTAACATGCTATTTGTTGACTTTGTTCCATTATATTACCATATATACCTTTTTGAAATCTAAAATATTTTTACAATTTTAACCATGTGTTGTTGAAACCATATATCAATCTTAGCTAAAGTATAGTTTATGAGTCTGTCACCATCTAACGTATGAATTTTCAAAAATGTCAAATATGTTCATTTTTTCTGTAGATTCAGCCATAATTTCACGTTGTTATACTATTCAACTATTATTTAATATTTTTATCGATTTAAATATATGATGAGATGCTTAGTTCTCCTGGAAATCGATTTTTAATCGCAATTTTAACTTTCCAAAAAAAATTCAAAAATAAAAATCCCTCTCAATTTTCTAAGTTTTATAACTCGCCAAATCTCTAGCCAAATTTTTTTGGCCCGTATAAATATTGTTTGGCACTATATAGGGATGCTATTTATCATATTTTCATCCCATTTTACTGTTATCCTAGTGAATGTACCTTTGTTAGAAAAAATATACAACTAAAATGTCAGTTTTAAAAAATTTAAAAATTATATTAAAACAATAGTCATTGAGGATGGTTAATTGCAAAAACTCAAGAAACTATCATTATCTCTCTTTGCTTAACACATCTACAACTGGAAACATCATTCCAAATGAAGTTCCTCAGTCTCGTCAAAATTTCTCTCTCATCTACAACAAGCTTAACTCAAAACTCAAGAAACTATCATTATCTCTCTTTGCTTAACACATCTACAACTGGAAACATCATTCCAAATGTTGCATTCAAGAATCCTATTATTATTCTTTCTTTCAATCTTTTATATTTACTCTTTAAATTCTAATATAATATAAATTCTTCATTTCCTTTGTTTAAACTTTTTTCATTTTAATACCATTTTATCAGATAGTAATTTTTGTTTTTCTCTGACCAAAAATCTTCTCAATTTAACTCCACCTTCACAAAAATTCATTGAGTTCTCTCAAAATTCTTGTATTTTTGGTATACTTAAGGGTGCCCTATAGACGATAAACCACCCTCAGAAAAGCACTTTTAAGGCTATTATATTGAGAACTAGAATCTGGATAATTCATTCATTCGAGTTCTAATAAGGTTAATTTTGTGATGTTTACATTATCGTTATAGGGCACCCTTAAAGTATCATCTTCAAATATTTTTTTGGAGAAAATTGACTTTGCATAATATCGTAATACTTTTTAAGGCAGATAGATTTACCGTAAGTTGAAGAACTTTTAATTTGAACAGAAATTATTCAACAAATATTCTTTTTATTTGATCAAGATACGTATACCAATATGATCTACTTGCTAGGGATATGTAGATCACGTTCAGAATTTGCCAAGTTTGGTGAATATCTATGGGATTAGGGACATCTATTTAATTTAAGAACTAAAAATTAGCATAGGCGTATTATGCTGTTACTGAAATATATTTTGGATGTATAAATTTTTACTTAATACTCTTTTATTGTTATCATTTTTAAAGATTTTTTATTATGAGCAAAAAAATGGCAAGACAATAATATATTGTACATGCAATTTATTATTACTGAATAAATTTATCAATCAAATTTGATCACATACAATTTTTACAGATAAATACATTATCTCAAAAAATATCTATATATTAGTATATGTTACACGAAATGTAATAAAATGTATTACTTTGGTTTATCAATTTATAAATAAGAATGAAAATTTGTTATAGCTTTGTTCCAATATTTATTTTTATATATTTAAGTTATCCATTTTACTGTTTTCATTCATATTTATAACAAAATTAGAGTCCTTAAAAAAAAAAAAAAAAAAAAAAAAAAAAGGGAGTGGGGCTTCCAGGCACTTCGTGCCTTCTAGCCCTGAGGATGATTGATATAATGAAGTTCTTATATACGGGTCTTCCAGGAGCTTTTCACAAAATATATATGTTTTCATGTTTTGTCACTTTTCTGTCACTTTTCGGGTAAAAACATTTTTATTATTATATATAAATGAATTTTACAAAACCACCGTTACCCTTCTTTGGAAATAAGAGTAGATGTAAAGATATTCTATTGAGAGAACTTAAGAAACTACCGAATGGTCTAACATTTGTAGACTTGTTCGGTGGAAGTTTCTATATATCTCATTTGTGCCATACAATATTTCCTGACTCAAAGATTATATGCAATGACTTCGACAACTATATGAACCGTCTCAAACATTATTACCAGACACAAACAAAATATTGAAAGAGTTAAAAGAAAAGATACCTATAGGTAAGATGGAACGTATACCATTAGATAAGAAAATACTGTCAGAGAGGTTTTGAAAAAGGCAGAGTATATTGACTGGATAGTATATCTGCTAGACTATTATATAGTGGTGCTATAAGAGTTCATGACATTGAAACACTTATGTCAAAAGTTTTATATCTTAACTATACAAATGTTTTCAAAGAGAACATAGAAAAATATATTGAGGGTATATAGTTTGTGAGATGTCATTGGACAGAGTTGTATGAAAAATATAAAGACAAGGAAAATGTTTTCTTTATAGTGGACCCGCCGTTCTATAACACATGGGATTTTCAATACCAAGTAGACTGGACTTTGAGAGACTCTTTAGAAACTTTAGACGTTTTACATAACCATCCATGCTTTTACTTTACATCCGATAAAAGTGTTTGGAAAGTGTCATGAGATGGTTAGAGGACATACATGACTATGAGTTTAGATACGATAAGATAGAATATGAGAGAGGTCTATAAACTGGAGAAAGTGTCATAACAAAGAAATTTTACTAGTAAGTAAATGTGGTTTGAAATAGGACTACTTGTTTTTAGGTTTTTTCCATTGTGTCATTTACTTATTTGACGTGGCAGAAAGATATAGAGAATATGAAGATGAACCAATGCCTGCAAATGTTCAGCATATGTACTCGTAAGAGATATTTTTATCTAATATTAAATGGACGCACAGAACTTAGCGAATGCACAGCAACCTGGACAACCAAACCCAGAGAATATTCCAAATGAAGTTAGAATACAAACTGCAATGGCAAACTATGGTCAAGTGCCAACAGATGTACAAATGCAAACTGCCATGTCAAATGACGCTGCGTTAGGTTTGCCACCATGGTATGCAAATATGAGATGGAAAGAGTTTTATACAAACCCCGAAGTGGGATATAAACAACTTTATGCAGATGACGCGAACACAGGAGTTGACCCAGAGTATGTTTTCTACCAGAGGAGAAATAGAATGTATGAGCTCCAGTTAAAGAATGCTATGGAACTCAACAGGAAACGTAGAGACTAGGCGGACATTAGATTTTTACATATAGTAAAATGGGTTTCTTTGGTAGAATTGGAAACTTCTTTCGAAATGTTGGAAGAGGTATATGGAATGGAATAAAAACCGTAGGAAGAGGAATTGGAACGGAGTCAAAAATATTGGTAAAAGAGTAGGTCAGTTCGTTGGTATTATACCTAAAGACCCTGAACCAGAAGAACAAGCTCCTGTTATACAACAGCCTGAACCTGCACCACAGTCTAGTTGGCAACCAAATCCAACACCTCAACCGTATTAAAAAATTATATTTTTATCGTTCGATAGTAGTTGTATATGAAACTAAGTTCTAAGTAAAAACGCATGGTATAATGGAATTATTCTTTTTCTTCCATCTGTAGTAAACCATACTTGAAAGTCTGAAATACTTCCACTTGGTGGTTCGTATAACTTTGTAGGTTTTTCGTAAAAGTCATTTGCCAAGCATAAGAAAGAGTTTTGGGCGCCAGAAAATGAAGCATGAACAATAATAGCAGCTGGGTCGAAAACATCTTTAAATAAATATGGTTCATCTCTTGCATATCGACTGTAAATATTTGCTAAAGGAAGTTCGACTTTCTGATTTAACATTCTTTGCAAATAATACCATGACATTGCAGTGAATTCTGTATATATTTGTTCGTCTTTCTTTGGATTGTCTTCGTAGATTTGAAATGACACTTGTGAATTTTGTTTGTCATATACAATTCTCACATAAAGTGTGCTCTCGGTATTTGCATATTCATCAGCATATTTTGCATAACATGAAATTTATTTTATCTTCTATATTTTTTAACGCAGTCTGTAGAGAAGATGAAAGGTCAACTTGTATTAGCTCAATTTCTTCCCACATTTTTCGTTTCCCTTCAGATATATAATCTATATGAAACCTTACAATAAATGGAAAACTTTTATCTTCTACAGACACAAACTTCATTCTACGAAAGCCAATAGCTTTTGTGACGGATGGGTCTCTTAGCCATCTTAACGGGTAGTCAAAACGATAGCCTTCATGCTTTACGGTCTCTGTCTCAAACTTTTGACCGACGTTAGTAAAAAGTTCATCTAATGGTTTAGTTGTAGCAACTCTTGAATTTTCTTTTTCTATTGAAAGCATATTTTATCTAGAATAAAAATGTCGAAAGAAACAGCGTCTATGAGAGAAATACAACACAACCGACAACTCATTTTGCAAGCTCTAAATAAGAACACAACAAACTTTTCAAACTTCTAAGATATCTGAGTCATTGAAAGAAGGAAACTTAAAACTGACATTAAACCCAATGACAGACGAGTTTCTGTTTCAAGACAATAAGAACCATACTGTCTGTGTAAATCCAACAAAAGGAACTTTAAACGAGAAACCTATAGATGAACTTCTTTTGAAAGCAGATGTTGGCAACAAAGCTGACAAAGAGTATGTCATTGAAAAAGTTCAAGAAGAACATGACAGAGCAGATGCAACATATGCAACGAAAGCAGATGTTGACAACAAAGCTGACAAAGAGTATGTCATTGAAAAAGTTCAAGAAGAACATGACAGAGCAGATGCAACATATGCAACAAAAGAACATACTCATCCTGAACTAGCAGACAAAACATATGTTGACAATAAAATGTCAAGTGAAGTGACAAGAGCTGACAAAGAATATTCTAAAAAGACTCATACACATACCATTGCAAATATTACAAACTTACAAGAAACCTTAAACAGGAAAAGTGACGTTGGACATACACATACCATTGCAAATATTACAAACTTACAAGAAACCTTAAACAGAAAAGTGACGTTGGACATACACATACCATTGCAAATATTACAAACTTACAAGAAACCTTAAACAGGAAAAGTGACGTTGGACATACACATACCATTGCAAATATTACAAACTTACAAGAAACCTTAAACAGGAAAAGTGACGTTGGACATACACATACCATTGCAAATATTACAAACTTACAAGAAACCTTAAACAGAAAAGTGACGTTGGACATACACATACCATTGCAAATATTACAAACTTACAAGAAACCTTAAACAGAAAAGTGACGTTGGACATACACATACCATTGCAAATATTACAAACTTACAAGAAACCTTAAACAGGAAAAGTGACGTTGGACATACACACGATTTCTTCGCAACTGTTGGTATAGAAAATATTGAAGGAACGGTTGAAGAAACTGGTGGGGATGTATTAAATTGGAAACCTCCTAACTTTCCACAAGGTTTAACATCGGAGGATGACATAACAACGATGAAATACATTAGATGTAGAAATGTCTATGTCATGGAGGATGAAAAAAAGTTAAATTCACTGCTCAAGATTTATATGATAAGAAAGCTGACAAAACAGAGCTTCAAACGTTAAAGACAGAAATACTTCAAACACTATATCCTATAGGTTCTATTTACACGTCAATGAACTCTACCAAACCAGAAGTAGTACTTGGTTTTGGAACTTGGACTCAAATAGTCGACAGGTTTTTGTATTGTGCAAACTCTTCAAAGGAAACAGGCGGAAGTAAAACGATTTCAGGTGCAAATTTACCTGCGCACAGTCACTACATAAATTTAAGTACATCTGAAGCAGGTTTGCATAGTCATAGATTTTGGGATTGGTCAGGAATGACAAAAGGTAAAGGATATGATGTTAAAGAGGACGTTAAGTTTGCTATAAATTGTTACTGGAGTAACACTGAGGTAGGAGGAAGCCATACACATCGCGTTTCAGGCTATACGCAAACAACGGGACAGAGTAAAGACTACATGCCACCTTACATGACAGTTTACGCATGGTATAGAAATGCTTAGTCGTCATTTTCAACTTCTTTAGCATATTCGTCAGGAGTTGTCTTATATTTGTTAGGAACTGTCTTTGAAAGTATACCACCTTGAACCTTAACAAGTTTGAAACGAGGTCTGACAATAGTAGTTTTATCTTCTGCTTGCAGTCTGTACATTTTGCCATGTTTGCCTAAAACTTCATAATATTCTCTTGTATACTTTCTTCTATTTTTACGAACACGAATGCGAGTACCTGTCGAGTTCCCATTGTTGTCATAGTCAATAGTATTTTCATATGGGTCGCGTTTAGGTATTTCTATTTTTACTTTGTCACCTTTCTGAAGTTTGAAGCCTGGCATTCTTTCTTGTTTGTCTCTTTTGACTAAACTATTAAATATATAGTCTTTCTCTAAGTCAGGGTTGTTTTTCATTTCTTCGGGGGAGTGGTTTCCCAAACCTTTTTGTTTACGGCTATTGTAAATATTTAAAACTTGTCTCATCTTTGCCATGGAGAAATGTCTGTACTTGTCGTCATATGACATTTCATTTGCTTCACCACCTTGTGGTTGGTTTAAGTCTCTTAAGATTTTTATACAACTGTCAATGACACCAAGAGCAGAATGGTTTTGGTCGACAATGAAATATTGGTTTACATTTTTTGAACGCAGATAGTTTTTAATATCGTCTGATTTGAAAGAACTTTCACAGTCAGATGTCAGTTTTGTTGGATGGTATTTGTCAACGAATATTGTCAAAGCAGTTTTCACATCTAAAATATTTTTGGACTGTAATGGTATGGCTTCACAGTATCTTGTGTTTTGACCGACAAATATTAGCCAGTATGGTGGTCCATCTGTTCTAACTCTCGGAATGTTTTCCAAGATATCCATAAACCAAGCATTTGGTGTTGAACTAAAGATTTTTACCATGAGTGCTTTCTTTGTCGCTTTAGAAACATAGGGGTCCTTGTTTGGATTCGTCATTTTTTACCCTATAAGAAATGGGTTTATTTGGCGCATTAGCAGGAGTTGCATCCAGATTTTTGCCCGCAGTGGGAACAATAGCCAGAGGTGTATTTGGAGTTGGAAGGAAGATTTTGAGTACATTAGGTATACTTAAAGAGAAAGCACAACCTATTATACAAACTGTACAGAAAGGTTGGGATGTAGCACGAGATGCAGCAAATCTTATTCCAAATCCTGAAACAAGAGGAAAAGTTCAAGGATGGATGGACAATGTAGGAAGACAAGCAGGAAACTATTATAACAAAGCAAATGACTACTATAACCAAGCAGGACACTATATGGACCAAGGTGAAAGATTCTTTAACAGAGGATATAACCATGCACAACAATGGGTAAACAACAACCAACCTCAACCGCCTCAAACTTGGGGAATGTAAAATTTTTTACTGAGATGAAATGAACAATACAGCATTGAGACAAATGGGCTCAAGATGGATTTGTCGGCTTCCAGCAGTTACACAACCACGTGTTTGTCAAGTTCTTCCTATACCTCAAGAAGTTTTAGACCGACTTAAAAAACCTAAACAACCAGTTGAAAACAAACCAAACTAAAATTTTTTACTGAGATGAAATGACCGAAGAAGTTGAAACGGTAGATTTGACACCACAAACAAAAAGTTCAGAACCATTGTCAAAACCTGTCAAAGAACTTACAGATGAAGAAAAAAATTCAATAATAGAAAGTGCCAGGTCTGGAAATACAAACCCTAACTATAAAGTCACTTTTCATAGAAATGGAACGGCTAGTATCTCAAAAAAGAAACAGACTCTCACAAATAAAATATTGAAGTCTGAAGGAGCTTTCGAGACAACAGATGGAAAAGTTTACTTCACTGACCAACAGTTCATTATAGAACATCTCATTGACTTAGAGTCGAAATATTCTAAACTTTACAACAAACACAAAAAGTTGAAAGGAAAACAAAAACAAATGGCATATGATATTTATGAAGATGTTGACGACACAACTGTTCCTGCAGGTGAGGTAAAGTCAGAGGAACCGAAAAGAAAAACCGATAGAAGAAGAGAAACCAAAAACTGAAAGATAAACCAAAACAAAGTTTAGTTTCGCAAACTAAACCAAGTCAACCTTCATTAGCTGGTATGGAGTTTGGCGCAAAGACTTATGGCAGCGGCGTTACGTAAAGGTAAAGAAAAAACATTTTTTATTTTTTATAAAAATGCCCCCATTATATAGAATGGATAGAAAATCTGCTAGAATTAAAAGCAGGTTAGAAAAGATAGTGGTTGGAAAAGTTTCGAAGAAGTTTAAATATAGGAAGGGAAGACGCCATAAAAGTCTATGACAAACTGTCTGGTCTTCGCTATTGAAATGGCTTGAACAGCGACGCGCAAACTATCCAAACAGATTAGAGAGGTTAGAAGAAGAACGTCTTATGGACATGCTTCGAGAGTTAGTGAACTCAAGTTGAAGGACACAGACGGCTT